AAAGGCCTGGAAGCCAGCCACCATGCAGAGTAGACAGGTGGAAAACCGGAAGAACTGGAAACAAGCAAGCCAGTGAATATCTGTTCCTCCTGGAGTGAGTCTGTTCTACACAGCCCTGGTGTCTTCAGCAGCTGCGCTCAGAAGTTGCCCTGTCTCAGCTTGCATTGCTCCGGGGATGGGAAACTCACTACCTTGTCACGCAGCCCCCTGATACTGGCCAACACTGAGAATGCGAGAAAAACTTTTGTTTTTATGAACTTGACCAACAGAGCGAGACTCTGGGTTTACTCTCAAGTCGAACGGAAGCAAATAGAATCAGGCATTTAGGACTAATGACCCCTGAAGCCCTCTGTCCTCAGTGACCCAGACTGTGAGGGGGGCACTGCATGGGGTTCGTAGGAGCATGCTTGTCACCTCACTGCTTTGGGGTGCACTTGGGGGAGCAGACGCCCTGTGTGTGTCCTGTGTTGTCTGACTCTCCCCCTCCCATCCCACCCCAAGCACCAGGGGCAGAATGGGATTCACCACAGGGCTTGGGGTCTCTGTTCCATGTTCACCTGTAGCGAAGTCGACAGGACCACCAGGGTCTCTCTTTAGATCACACGCTGGCCACTGGCAAGTCCTGGTTCCCAACACTTCTTTCTACTTGGGCCTAGCCCAGCAGCTGTACCCACTCCCCGATACTGTGCCCACCCCTTCCCACTCCTGCTCAGCAGCCAGAGTGGGACCACATTCCTTTCCTGCTCAGCAGCCTTGCTAATTCCTGGCTCACTCAATGGGAAAGAAGAGGGGGGCCTCTTGTCCCAGCCCCCACTGCATCTCCAGCAAAGCCTTTCCCAGCCTCCTCACCTGCCCTCCATCACCTGCTCCATCACCTGCTCCATCACCTGCCCTCCATCACCTTTCCACCCCAAGTGTCTCAGACATGCAGCCTTCTCACTTGTCTCTTGCTAAGTCACTCTTCCTGCTGACAGCCACATCAGGGCTTCCGCCTGGGGTGTTCCACCTGGCCCTGCTTTCCCGACATTCCCATCTTTCTTGCACTCCCAGTTTAGGTCAGTCAGCGCCCTGCTCCTACCTGTGCTACCGAAGCCCAGCTCTTGCCCCTATTATAGAGACTGGAAAACCGAGGCTGGATGAGGTGAGCTACACCCCCAGGACAGCTAGAGTACCAGTTACTCCGACATGTCCCTGGTGTATGTGCGAGCGGAGGATTAAACCGGCTTGGGGTGGGGGGCGGTCACACGGTTGGTGGCCGAGGCACCAAGTTCAAAGCCGGCGCCCTGGGAATTTAAAGTGACTTTGTGACAACAGGCAAGCTAGAGTGGCTTCCACCGCTGCCAGCGGCGATCAGGGTGGGAGCCCAAGCTGGCAGGCCTGCAGCCCGGACACAGAGGGTCGGGTCGGGGCGGGGCGCGCGGAGCCCGCGGGCTGGAAGACATTACACGGCTGTCGGCCGGGGGCGTCGCTGCGAGTTCCGGAGGGGGTCCCGGCGGCGGGCGGCGCGGCCGAGGGGACGGCCCCGTCACAAAGCGCGCTTTGTTCTGCGCTGCCCCCCGGGAGCTGGAACCAATGGATTGGCGGCAGCTGGGGTCATCCGTCAGCCAGCGCGGGGGTCAGGCCCCGGGAAGGGACCGAGTCAGGGCGCGGAGGCCTCGGCGTGGGCGGGGGAGGCTGTGCTCGTGGGCCTCAGTTTACCGGTGTCTGTGCTGTCCCCCATCGGGTAGACTGATACTCTAGGACCGAAGCCGCCAGGGCCAGGTGGCCACTGTGCTGAGCTGGAGTGAGCGGTAGGCTTGGTGGGCCGGACCAGTGGCACAGTGCAGTGGGCACGGTGTGTGTGTGTGTAGGCCTAGGTCCACTCTGCTGTCCAGCCTGGGAGACCCCCTGCTTTACCTTGGGCACCAAGCTCGGCTTGCCTCCACTTGTCTTGACTGAGGCTGGAGCTGACAGGTGGAGCTGAGCCCTGTTGGTTGGTTGGAGGTTCCTTGGTGGCTGGGCTGGAAGGACCCAGGGAGGTGGGGTCTGAACCCCCTGGGGTTCAGCCAGAGCCTGGAGCCCCTATACTCCCACTTCTGACCCAGTGCCTGGCAAGTATTTGTGCCCCGGTGGCCCCTGTGGGAGACCCAGTGGAGTTCCTAGCTGCTGGCTCGGACCTTTGAGGCCACTTGGAGGAATGGACCAGAGGGTGGCAGATGTGTGATCTTCTGCCCTTCAAACATCCTAAAAACAAAACAAAGCAAAAATAAAACAAACCAAGGGGTCCATGCAATGGCTCAATTGACTAACTCTCTGCCTACAAGCGCCAGCATCCCATGTGGGCACCAGTTCATGTCCTGGATGCTCCACTTCACATCCAGCTCCTTGTTTGTGGCCTGGGAAAGCAGCAGAGGAAGATGGTCCAAATCTTTGGGACCCTGCACCCATGTGGGAGACCAGGAAGAAATTCCTGGCTCCTGGCTTCAGATTGGCGCAACTCCGTTGTGACCATTTGGGGAGTGAACCAGGGAATGGAAGATCTTTGTCTCTGTCTCTTCTTTCTGTAAAATCTGCCTCTCCAATAAAAATAAACTACCCCCCCCCAAAAGCCCATCTACTGCTGAGTGCCTTAACTGCCTTGTTCCCAAGACAGGTATTTTAGCATCTGATTCAGGAGAGCTGGGGGCCGGAGCCATAGAAGCTGTCCCCCCACCCTATGTGTGTGCACCTGCAGGGTTCCAGTCACATCCGCCCCTGCAGGAAGAATACAGGTTCCCAACGAACCAGGAGGGCACCGAGCAGTCACCAGCCTGGATGTGAGGCTGGCAGGGTCGCTGCTGGAAACACAGTGAAGAGTAAAGAGTGGGATGGGGTGGCAGGGACCCACACACCTCACGCAGTTCCCATGGGAGGTTGGAGCCACGGGCAGGTGGCAAACAGCATGAGCCAGACCCGTGTGGACAGTTCCTGAGCCAGCAGCAAGAAGCTGCGGGACAGGGCAAGAGGCTGATGGAAGCTATCAGGAACAGGAAGTTGGGTAAGGAGACGGCAGCAGGGGAAAGACTCTTGGGAAATGAAAATTAAAAAAAAAAAAATTTAGGATCCACCGTAGTGAAAGGGATGGAGTCATGGGGTCCTTACATGTGGCCATGGTCTGGGGCCAGTCTCCCAAGGCTGGGGTGCGGTTGGGAAGGGGATGCTCAGGAGAGGCAGGTGGCCCAGTTTGGAGGAAGGAATTGGAAGTTTTTGAGAGGGGCAATTCCAGTGTTGATAGGAAGTCAGCTGTGCCGAGGCTGTGAGTGTGCAAGGTCACAGGGCAACAGGAGATGCATGGCCTGATGCTCTAGACTGCCAGCTAGGTCTCCTGCTCATGCCTGAACCTCCCACCTCCCACCCCAAAGTCTGGGTGAGGAAGGCAGCCCTCAGCCCGTCCCATCCCACGAGTGTCGTTCTGCAGGCTAGGGACCCGGGCTTGCCTTAGGGGACATGGAAGCAGCGTCGCCTGCTGGCCAAACGTGAAACTGCAACTCCAACCATTATGGGGCAACCCACAAGTTTCACTCTGCAAAAACCCAGTCCACTTGCTCCCACGCCAAGCGTGTCCTGTACCTGTCCCTCAGATCCCCTAGCACTGCCGGGCTGGGGCTCTTTTGCTCTCATTCTTATTCCATCCCTGTGTGCACAGGAGGGGAGTTACTCCTGGCCACACAGAGGCACAGCAAGATCACCATGCTGACAATCTCAGGCCCAGCTTGCCCGGCTTTCAACTCAGACCTATCAGGTGGACTTCATGCTGTACCTAAGCGGATCCAAGCATGGAGCTCCCAGTCCCCGCCCAAGCATGTGTCCTTTGCTTTGTGGATGGATGAGCGCCGTACTGGAAATGATCAATAGCATCATAGTGAGTGGTCCTTCAACAATGTAACATCCTCACCTGGTGTCAGAAAACCTGTAGGGACCCAAGCCCCTCCCCTCGAAAGCCACATGCCCCCCTGCATTACTTACGCTTTTATTCTGGAATCACTTCAGCCTTACAGAAAGGTGGCTGGTAGCACAGTCACTGTCTCGCTTCACTCTGCCCACCTGACAGCACCATCTCACATGACTGCGGGTATCTGTCCAACCTCAGGGGCTGGCCTTGGCATAGCACGGCCCACGGCCCCCTCTGCACTTGTCCTCTGCCTCGCCCCTTCTTCCAGGACAGGGTCTCAGTGACTTCAGGCTGGGCAGAGCAGGGAGTACTCTGTGTTTGTGTGTGTGAGAGACAGAGAAGAGCAAGAACAGCAAACCCACCCAGCTACGTCCGAGATGAAAACAGGCACAGGACCAGCACAGCTCTCTCTCCATCAAGAAGTCAGTCTGGTTCCCACCTCTTGATTCTGGGCAACGCTCTGGGACCATAACAACTTAGTGGCAGGGACACATCCTGGATCCAGAAGTCTGGCAGCTCATGTTCCTGGAACCTGCAGGCTGCCGTGTGAGTAAGCCAGAGCTGGTCCACTAGGCAGCAGGGCCCAGCAGGAAGAGAATGCAGCCAGGCCAGCCAGTGCCTCTACTGTGGGCAGGCATAGGCCTGCTCTCAGCTGTGAGGCCGAGCTCAGCTTGGTACCTGTGGAGGCGGATGCTCGGTGTCCCCCGTCCCCCACTCTCGGAAAGGGACCCCAGTTTCTGCTTGGGAGTCCCAGGAGATGAGACCTGACCACTCTTCTCAGACCATTTTTGTCCTCTGCTGTCTCAGCTTTCTCTGTAGCCAGGGAAGCCACATCAGGGCGATCTGAGCAGATGTACAGGGGGACCCAGTGGGACATGGGCCTCTCCCTCACTCATGGACACTTAACTGACATGGCCCTGTCTTCTCCCCTGGTTTCTTCCTGGCACAGATGTGATTCTGGAGACACAGCAGCCACTTTGTGACCAAAAGATAAGGAACACTGAGGACCAAGTGAGAGAACTGTGAGAGGTGAGCTCCACCTTGCTGAGTGGCTGAGCAGACTTAGCTGCCTGTGTCAGGAGTCATGCGATGCAGAGAAACAAGCCTGTTTATTCATGCCACTGCGGTGAAATGCAGCTGCCGTATGGGCTGTATACAGACAAAGCCACTGAAGGACCCCAGGCCTTGGGAATCGGGGTCCAGCAGCTCCCCTTCCCCATAGCACCCCTGTTACAATCCGTCAAGAGGAAGGCCACACACAAGTTCATGTTCAGAGATGGGAACCCGGCTCCACATCCTGTGCATTGTGGATCCAGGGCCTGGCAGCTCAGCAAAGGGTGTGCCTGGAACCAGACCCTGCCCGCTATGGGCAGAGGGAGCGATGCCCAGCTCCACCTCCAACACGGCCCAGTTTATGCGACGCCACTGGCTGCATCCCGGAGGTCGCTACTGCAAGTCCGGCGTGGACGCGCCCAGGTACACACGCAGGTCTGAGAGTGTGGACTTCACCAGTTTGGCTGGAATGGTCTCTCGCCTCAGCTGCTGGTAGGCAGCGTAGCGGTGGCAGCCCCCAAAGGAATAGAAGTAGTTGCCGCCCTGGGCCCCCCTGATCCACAGCACGTCGATGGGGGGCACGCTGTCTGGGTCCTCCTGGTGACAAGGAGACATAGGGTGAGCAGGGCACAGCCGCAGGGAGCTCTTGGGGGCACACAGGGCTCTGCTGGCGGTGGATGTTACTCTAGGGGCTCAGCCCTGGCGACAGGGTCCACTCCAGGGAAATGGACAAAGGCTACAGGCGAGCGACTTTCCTCCCTAAAGACCACGCTGCCCATGGCTTAGCAACATCTAGCCTCTGGCCCTGATCTTGACTGGGTCAGGATGAGCCAGACATAGCCTCTACCTTCCTAGGGCTTCGTACTAGAGGGGTACGTGGAACCCACAAATGGACGTGGTCATACACGTGGCATCACAGACACGGAGGCCCACAAGGCCCGTGTAGAGTGACCATGAGGTGGACAACCCCTTGGGGAGAGAGACAAGTGGCTGAGTTCAGACAAAGCACCCGACTTGCTATGGCCAAACTCAGCCACTTGGGAGCTGTGTGGTCTCGGGCGCTGTGCCTCAGTGGTCCCCATCCATACAACGGGATGAAGGCAACAGTCACGTTACACAGCTGTGGCACAAAGAGAGTTTAAAGTACACAGTAGCACCTGCTAGGTGGTGCAAAGGGCCTGGGGCCAGAGATACAGCCAGGGGGAGGCCAGTGGGACTGGTACAGGTGCCAAGATGGGGGTTCAACAGAGACCAAAATGGTCAGTGCAAGAGCCCACTGAGCAGTGGGCAGCCTGATCTGGGAACCTCCAGGGGGTGGTCACAGGGGCACTGGCTGAGGGAGTGGGGTAGGTGGTTGAGTCCCGAGCAGAGACTCAGTGAATGATGCTGGTGTGGCCCACACAGCAGCCAGGACACAGGGAGGGGAGGCAGGGAGGAGGACATGAGGGCCAGAGGAGAGGGGAAGGGAGGGTGTGGGCCGGGAGGTTGTTGGAGCATACGAGGTGGGGCATTAAGTGTAAGAGAGAGGAGGCCAGACAACCGGACACACAGAGACACCCAGGTCACGTCTGGTGGACATCGGGGCCCCACGGGAAAGGAAGCGACAGCGGGGGAGCCCAGACAGCTCCAGCAGTGGGAGTCAGAAGTGCATGTTCCAGAACATTCCAGACACGCGGGTCAGCCCTGGAGGTGTCTGCTGGGATTCTGTTGCCCACCTCCACCTTCCCCAAGGCCAGGGGTGAGGGGACAGGATGTCACAGAGCCTGGGCTGGCCCCACTGTCATCACTGGGAGTCCCCAACCAACTCCCTTGGGGATGGGCTGACTTGGTCTCCTCACTCCCTGCACCTGCTGCCTTGACTGGCACAGCCCACCTCGGACGGAGAGGACGCCACGGGCCAGGCTGCTCAGTACGTGTCCCTCCCAAGGGCCTGAACACACTTTCCCTGCCTCCTCCGCTTCTCACCTGCGAAAAAGTGGGGTGGATGGGGGGGACAGCGCAGAGAAGGACTCGGCGGCCATTAAGTGAAGGCTTTTGGCCAATCTTTTCCTTGTTCCAATCAGGCAGCGGAGGCCCAGGGAGGCCCGTGGCGGCTCAAGGTCACACAGCCCAAGCTGAGCGCCCCATGAAGCGTAGGCCCCGCTCCCCACCCGGGGCTCCCTTCCCCGTGCCGAGCTGGCCTTCCCCAGGGCCTCACCCGGATCGTGTCCACCAGGCTCTGCACCTTGGCCGGGTCCAGCACGGACGGCAGCGGCCGGATGAGCACGCTGAGCGGCACGTTGTGCACGGCGTCTATGCAGCCCGAGTGGATGCTGCTGCCCTGCGCGCCGCCGCTCGGCCCGGGCCCCTCGTGCGCCCCCCGGCCAGCGCCGGCCCTGCCCAGCGCGCCTCCTGCGCGCATTCCCATGGCGCCTCCGCCCCCGCCGCCGCCTTCCCGGCTTTAACTCCGGCGGACCGTACCATCCGGCAGGACCGGGCGGGGTGCGGCAGCCACGGCGGCGTGCGCTCCTCCCGCGGGCAGCTCGGCGGTCGGCCGGCGGACCCCGCCGTCACCCTGCGGGGCGGCACGGGACCTGAGCTCGCGGGGCTGCGGGGTTCGAGCGACACCCGGCGCGGGCTGTCCGCCCGGGGTCCCCCCGCAGCCTCCCCGTGGCCCCGAGTGGGCGCGCCCGGACCCGCTGACTCAGGGTGAGCTTGCAGGTGTCTGCGCGGGAGAGGCGCGGGTGACACGCGCTCCGGGTGACTCAGGCCCGCGCACACGGGGCGGGGAAGGGACCGCGGCCGGACTTGCCGGGCGAGGATGACTCGGCTGCTGCCGCACAGCTTGAGGGCGTGCCCGGCAGACGGCTTTCGGATCTGTTGTGAGCGCGTTGCTTGGGTAGTAACTCACAGAACCCTCACAACGACCCCACAAGGTAGGTAGGATCCTTGTTCCCATTTCACAGACGAAGAAACTGAGGCAAGGGCAGGTATCAGCGACTCCCCCCTGCTCCCCACTCAACCCGGGGGCCAAAGTGGCCCAGCCAAGGCTTTACGCCCAGACAAGCTCGCTCTGAAGCCCTTCTGTACCCCACTGCCAGCCACCCGGGCTCAGCACCAGTGTCCATCCCTGGGAACTTTCTGGAACTGGGCCCTTGTGTGGCTTTCGTTACTGACACTCTAAAAAAACAATTATGTCTTTATTGTTTGTGATTACTTGAAAAGCAGAGAGAGATCTCCTACCTGCTGGTTCACTTCCCGTTCATGTCCGCAACAGCTAGGTCTGGGCCAAGCTGAAGCCAGGTGTTCCGTGCGGTTGGCAGGGACCCCAGGCCCCAAGCGGGTCACCTGCAGCTTCCTGCTGTGTGCCTTAGCTGGAAGTTGCACTTGGAAGCAGAGCTGGGGCTGGAGTGGAGGTGGAGGAGCACCCTGCCCTCTGGGCCCTAAACCTCCTTCTGGTGGTTGTGGAAGGAGGTGGAGCACCCCCAGGGTACGTAGGGACGCAGGGCCAAGCTCCTGGCACTCTGGGCTTCCTGGCCTCCGCCTGGCTGATGGAAGGCCACTGACCAGTCTTACATTCTTTCTCCCTTGGCCGGTAGGAGTGTGACTGGAACCAAGTCAGACTTTGTTTCAGGAAGTAGTGCAGCCACCCCCACCTCTGCCTGGAGTTAGTGTTACAGGAAGTAAGGACAGGGCGATGGGATTTTGGAGGAAAAGAAAAAAAAACCATGGAGACTTGACCCCAGTCTCTCCTCATGATAGACCCAGTGGCACTGCTACTCACAATGTGTTCCCAGAACTGCTTCAAGTTGAAATAGCTTGAACACTAAGATTTGTCTTTTCACATCCAAGACTGGTGAAGAGCGTAGTGTCATCCAAGACCCGGGTCACGCCATCATTGTGTGCTTTCATCCCGTGTCTGGCTTTCAGCCTCATGGTCTCCAAGATGGCTGCTGTGGCTCAAAACATCACATCATCACATCACACTCCCTAATGACGTACCCAAGGGGAAGTCAGGTCCTCTCTGTGTTTCTTTTCAACAATGAAGAAAACATTTCCTGAGTGTCTTGCCTTTGGTGACACCACCCAGGGTAAGACTTTTGTCCTTTGAGCCTTAACCTTGCTTTTCTCAGGATGGGGCTGCTGGGGCAGACTCCATACCCTCGTCTGGGGAGGCAAGTGGGCCCCCAACTTTCATCTGTTGATGGGGTGGAAGCCAGTGTGGTCTCCTGGGGAGGAGGCCAGTGCAGGGCTACGAGTGGGTGCTGTGCAAGGTCTGGGGTCTGCGCCCTGGGGACCTGCTGCGCCAGCCTGGGTGGGGAGCAGGTGGTTAATAGGGTATGGCTTTTGCTGCCCCCAGACGAACCACTCCTCCGCGGACTAATCTGGCTCTGGAAGTCACATTCTGTGTATGGTCTCCATCTCCACTCCACCCCCAGCCAGGGAAGGGGACACAGGTGGCCTGGCTTGGTGGGAAGGTGCAACATACCCAAGGCACCCGCCTGCCTAGGAGGTGACCCCAGGGGACTGCGGGGGAAGGAGGAGATGGCAAGGATGCTGTGATAACGAAGGTTGATTTGGCAGGCACGCAGGGACTTCTGGAGAGCCACCATGTGTCCAGTTTGTCCCCAGGGAGGGACAGGGCTTGAGGGTGTCTGCTGCCTCCTATCCCTTGCTGATGCAGTGTGACCTGAGGGGGCTGAACCTGTGATATTTTGGGGGGCTGTCCTGCCACTGACTCCAGCAAGCCTGTGTCAACCCTGCTGCACGCAGCCAGCCTGAGGCCACATGCGCGCAGCGTGGGCTCCCTGCTCCACTCCGGGGGTGCCCTGGACACGGGGTCCCTGCCCTTTCCTTCCTTCCTCACCTCCTCCTACACGGGGCAGTTGGCAATGCACAGGACTCTGCCTGATGTCTGAGAAGGTGGACAAGGGTTTTCCTGCCATCAAAGTGGCACTCCGTTGCCATGGCCCCTTTCTCTAGGTTGTGCCCCACCAGGGCCGTGGCTGTTGCTTCCTCTCCATCTCCTTGTGGTTCCCTCCATTGGCCTCTAGCTTCCTGTTCTTTTTTTTTTTTTTTTAATTTTTTTTGTTAAGGTTTATTTTTATTGGAAAGGCAGATATACAGAGAGGAGGAGATACAGTCTGATGATTCACTCCCTAAGTGACCGCAATGGCCAGAGCTGCGCCCATCCGAAGCCAGGAACCAGGAGCCTCTTCCAGGTCTCCCACACGGGTGCAGGGTCCCAAGGCTTTGGACCATCCTCAACTGATTTCCCAGACCACAGGCAGGGAGCTGGATGGGAAGTGGGGTTGCGGGGATTAGAACTGGTGCCCATTTGGGATCTAGGTGCATTCAAGGTGAGGGTTTTAGCCGCTAGGCCACCGTAATGGGCCCTCCTGTTCTTTTTCTTTTCTTTGGATAAAAAAATAAAATTTTGTGTTTGTTTGAAGGGCAGAGACATGGGGAATGAAACGAGAGTGCTCCTATCCACGGGTCCCTTTTCCTCAGAAGTCTGCAGCAGCCAGCGTTGGGCCAGCCCAAAGCCAGGAGCCCAGAGCTCAGCCCTCCTGGGTGGCAGGGACCCAGGTGACCGATGTCTGCCACTTCCTGGTATGTAAATGACAGGAATCTGCAAATGGGCTCAGAGCCAGGACATGAACGCACGCATGGCAACACGGGGTACAGAGTCCAGAGCCTTAACTGGGGCATCCAGTGCCCACCATCCAGAGGTGTCCCTTCTTTCTGCTGTGGCACTAGCACTCCTGGGCATCCGCTGGGGCTCATGAGGCTTCTCCCAGTCTCAAGTGGATGCTGGTCCCACCCACACGTGCTGCATCCATGGACACAAAGAGCCCCCTCCTCCGCTGCCTGTGCTGCCCTGGGCCCCATGATGACCCCGGATGGGCGTTCTCTGGGAGCAGCTCACCTATGGATGTCATCACCTGTTGGGAGATGGGCCAGTTGGCCTGGGGCCAGCCTCCCAGCATACTCACTGTCCCTTGTTCTTCCCTCATCTCTGTTCCTGGGTCACCTCCCACATCAACACTTGCACCCGACTCAGTTAGACCAAGCAGGGGATTGGCCATTGGCTCCTGCCTCCCACATGGGCAAACCGCATCTACCTCTTAGTAGATGGCTGGCCCTTGGGCCCCACTGGTCAGTCCCCTCGTCTGACGGGCAGTCACCTGATGGGCAGGCCTGCCTGATGGAAGGATGGATGGTAGCAAGGCAGTGACTGACACATTGGAGCTTGTCTGCTGTTAGCTGTTTGATGATGCTGTAAGGGAGCCACACATCTCGACAGCCTCTCCGTCTACACTGCCCGCCTTGGACTCAGTGACCTTCCCAGGGTTCATGGAAATTGCAATTGAAAGTTGAGGATAAGCGGCTGTGGCAGCCATTAGGCAACTGCCAGTTAAGCCCACATCCCACATGGGTTCGAGGCCCAGCTCAGCTTCTGACTCTTGCTTCCTGCTAATGGACACTCTGTAACATGAGCAGTGACGGCATAGATTACATGGGTTCCTGCCACCCGCATGGGAGGCTGATTGGAGTTCCAGGCTCCTGGCTCAATCCCAGCTGTTGTGGAAATTTAGGGAGTAAATCAGAAGATGGGATGTCCTCCCCTCTCCCCTTCTCTCTGCCTCCCCTCCCTCCTCCTTCTCTCTCTGCTTTCCTGCATTCTCCGAAAGCCCCCTGCAAACTATTTGGGGACACACTTGTGTCTGTATTGGACGCACCCAGCCTTTTGCTTAGAATGCAGCCGCCTGGCCCGAGGGGCGTAAAGGGACGAGGTGGAGGAGCTACAGAGAGCTGGTCCGGAGAGGAGTGTGCTGTAGGGCAAGTGAGAGTGCTGGCTGCCCGCTGCCTGCTGTCCTACAGGCAGGCCCTGCTTCTGGGTGGGGTGGGGGTCTGCTTCCCAGTGAGCTCTTGATGAGGCCACGGCCCAACTAACTGGTTTGTTGCAAGCTGGGCCGAAGCTTCTGGTGAGCAGGAGGGATTCAGAGTCCCAACGTTTTCTTGGGGGTGACTCTCTCTGCTGAGCCAGGGTTGGTCTTTTGGCACGCCTGCACCTGCTGTGCAGAACCTGGGGCAGGGCTGTGGGCAATGGCAGGGCGGGGTAAGAGCAGCCCCAGCGGCTGTAAACTGGCTGTGGGCAGCGTTGGTCCACCTGCTTCCCGGGGCTAGAGGGTGGTACAGATTCTTCCTAATGAATGTCTTGAGGGAACTGGAGTCATTCACTTAGGGTATTACTTTGAACCCTTCCGTGAGGAATGTTTGGGATTGGGGGTGCCTGGGAGGGGGCTGTTCAGGCCGCAGAGGGGGTGGGGCGAACGGAAGAGAGACTCCCTGCTGATGCTCAGGTGCCTGTCCCTTCTAGCATCACAAGGTCTGGAGGCGCTGGTGAGTGGCCAAAGTCCCTTTAATATCCCTGAATTGCG